CCCCCCCCCCCCCCCTCTTAGTATCGCTCCGATCCTAACACAAAAGACCTATAGGTTGATACCTTAGACCCGAACGCAGTGACCATATGCCCTCGCACTGTTCGACGTTATACAAGTCGACGTTGAACACCACGGAGTCGTTTCGGAAAGCTCGGGGCGGTGCCGCATGACCATTCTAGAAAGTTTGGAATGATGCCGCACCGCATGGGTCCGTATCGGTCGGTCGACGCTCATCCGCAGGGTACAAACCATCCTCCCGAGGAATTGACAACTAGTAAAAGACCATATATGAACGACCCTTCTTCACATGTATGAAAGCTAACTCCTGACCAGCGCTATAGGGACGTCAGACTCACTCTTATTACACTTAACTCTAACTTAATCTTTAGAGGATTTGAGTCGAAAAATTTTCCTCCCGACCTCGACCTGGGTATAGGAGTTGACGACAAAGAGGCGGACAATAAGACCCCCAACTCAACCTGACCTGATGCTCACTTCCGCCACTTGAGTCTCCACATATGTAACCTTGTGCATCCGAGATTAGACCGAGCTATGCTAACACCTCGACCACGGCGTAAAAGTTCACCAATAAGCATTTCAATTATCCTATCTGCTTTCGTACTTAAATCATAGTAAATATGATATCAGAGCAATAACCACTAATAATATATTTTTGTGAGTCTTGATCCGACAAGTATAGATCCATATATAATATTAATTATTGAGTGATCACGAGGTATCTGGATGATAGGTATTTAAGTATGGGAGATTGTAATATCCTACAAGAATAAATAAAAATTAAACCAATGCATGATTAATATATTTTTTATTTTTATAAAAAATATTGAATAAAGTTTTAATCTCTTAATCTTTTGTAAGTAAATATGATATATCATCACCAAACATATATTCTAAGGGTAACCCTTTATCTAATATATGATGATCAATGTCTTAAGTGTATAAATTATTCATTTGAGATTTTTAATCGTGGACTTAACACACTAACCGTTTAAATTGATGCCGTGATAGTTTTTAGTTGACATAAGATCAACATTATAATTTTTTTAATTAATCAAAATTTGATCGATATTTTCATATTTATTGATCGAATATTTTCAATCAAATAGCTTTATATCAATTAATATTAAATTTATTATTATTATTTATTTTATTTGATAATATAAAAATAGATAAAAAATTTAAAATTAATATAAACTATAAATAAAAATTTAAATACTTTTGGATGCAATAGCTTTCTTACGTGGCTCAATAAGGATGAGAGATCTATGTAACTCGCTCAAAATAGTCGGACCTGTAGTAGTTATAATACTATTTCGTTGTACGCCTGCATACTACCAGCCGATGTGTCAAGATATCACCCAATAAAAGTTTGCCAAATAAGATAACTTTCAGAGGGCCAACATCATCGTAGCCTACAAATATAAATAGATAACAAACTTCTTTCCCAACCCTTGCAACATTGCATTCTTGGTCGTCTTCTTCCCGCTCCTGAGCCCGCATGACTGCCGCCTCTCTCACCCTCGACCTCGCGGACCCGGTCTCTCTCCGCCGGGTAAGTTCCCATGGCGGCAGCAGGAGATGGGTTGGCCACCACGGCCCTTCTTCCCTCCGCCTGCCAAAGGGCCTACGGTGCTCGAGGAGGGCCCCCGCCAGGGTCCTGGTGCCGGCCGCGGCCCTGACGGCTGTGGAGGAGGTCGGTGCCGTCGACCGGATCGCGTCTCTCAGCCAGGTCGCGGCGGTGCTCGGCACGCAGTGGGGCGACGAGGGCAAGGGGAAACTCGTGGACATTCTTGCCAGGAACTTCGATGTCGTCGCCCGATGCCAGGTCAACTTTGCCCTCTTTCACTCGATGGGCAAAATGATCCAATCTTTCCTCTTCCGGTCTTTAAATCTTAGGGCTTGAATCATTCGCTCTTTCTAATTTTTCTCTATGAATTATTACGCAATGCTTGATTTTTGAGATTGCAACTTATTTGTTTCTTGATTGAATTCCATTTTTGTGTCCATAGGGTTTCGGTTAAATTAGCTTGTGACTGGCTTTGTGGATGTATTGTGGACGTTTTAAGTTATCTGTACCGACCAAGGTATTCATTCTCAGTAGTTCTTGATGTCGACTATCGGCATATCATATGCGAGTTCAAGTAATCTAGACAAGGAATTTAGGTGATGGCTTGCCTTGCATACTAGAGTCTTCACTGTTCACGGTGTTGAGGTTGTCATTGCCAACCTTCATTTTAGTTGCAAGGCATTCTGCAATTAAGATTGGATTTAGAGAAAATAACTCCAACAATCCGCTGAGGAGATGAATATTGGAAAATAAACTTAACTAGCCATTTCTATTGGAATTTGTGAAGTCATCTAGATAATTATAAGGTTAACTTAGATAATTATGATCTAGATTATGAATGAACACCTTGAAAAGAGGGACATCCCTAGGAAATTGTATGTTGTACTAAATATATTTGGTTTGGTATATTGTGGAGAATGCAAGTGTTTAAAGAAATATAGAATAGTGTGTGGACTTTCCTGCGTCGGACTCTCAACCATCTCTCAGTCACCAATACTCCCTATCAATTATTTCTTTTGTCAAATTGGTACTAAAGTCAATTTAACACAATGGCCTCCTCCCACCGCCACCTCTCAACCCCTCCCCTCTCTTCTCTCTCAGTGAATGTTAATTTTTTCTTTGTTAATGCAGTAATATATTTGTTAGGACTCTAGCTAGGAGAGTCCTAATTGAGAGGGACATTCTGTTAGGACTATAGCTAGGAGAGTCCTAATTGAGAGGGACACTCTGTTAGGACTCTAACTAGGAGAGTCCTAATTTAAAGGGACATTCTGTTAGGAGGTTTTTTCTTAGAGAAGAATTAGGAGTTGTAAGGGAATATGAGTCTTGAGTATGAGACATATTAGGAGTTGATTAGAAGTAAGAGTCTTAAGTAGGAGTCCTATTAGGAGTTAGGGTTTAGAAGCCCTATAAATAGCCATGTATTCCTTCTCTTTTCTTAAGCAATAGATGAATCTTTTCTACAGCCTTTGAGCAGCAACTTCGAGGGAGGAACCCCTATAGAGTTCCAAGGAGGCCGATCCCCTAAAGAGATCAACCCCAAGTTTAGAATCTGCAAGAGTTCTAACACCTGGTATCAGAGCAGCGTTCTTGGCGTCTCACTACCCTTCCATAGCCATCCATCAACCCTCCACAACCATCCAAAGCAATTCCCACAATTGCTTAAAAGACCGTCGCCGAATTCCGCCATCATCTCCACCACCGCAGATCATCCTTTGATCTCCCCGTGAATTGCAACAGGTTCTGGTTTCCTACCTTACTGCTGCTGCAATTTATTTATCCCTATCCGAAAATCCAAAAAAAAAAAAAAAAAATTCGTTCCTATTTTGCTGTAAATTTTCATCGTAAGTTGCTGAAATTTTTCGACGAGAATTCTGCTATCGCAACTTACACCAATTTTCTTGCTGTTACTACCGAAATTTTCTTGATGGACATCCTTGCTGTCATATAAACTGAGATATTGCTGTCAACTCTCTCCTCAAATCTCTCAAATTTTTTGTAGAGATTTCGTCGAGAAACCGTTGTTTCTTCGACGATAATTCTGCTCTTACAAGACAACACAATTATGCAGCAAACTTTCACTGATTTCTATCAAACCTATACATGCCTTTAACTCGTCAACAAAAGAGAGATCTTAACATCACAGATTTGGAGTCATATACTATGGCATTTGAGGAGACAATCAATGCT